AACTATTAAAACACTAGATTATTATAAAATAATTTCTTTATTATTCTGTCATTCAGTTACTTAAATCATTAATTGACTCATTTAATCAACAAGTGATTATTGAGTTAAACTGAGGTACCTGGCATTGTTCTAGGTGGTGAGGGGCAAGGCAGAAACACAATTGCTACTCTCTCAGGGCATCCAATTTGGTAGCAGAAAGTGAAACAACGAAGTACAACAAAATGTGATGGGAGTAGTAACTCAGTACCACCTGATAGACTTATTGTAATAATAAAAATAAAATAATACATGTAAATAATAATTATGTAAATATAATTTATGCAATGTAATTATATAAATAATAATAAATGTCAGGAACTTTGCTAGGCTAGCATCACTGGCTGTTTGAATTCATCCAAGCTCCTCAAAAGCAAAGCCCTGGAAATCTACCTCAGTAAAGATCAATTAAGAAAATGCAGCAATTCTCCTTTGCAACACATGGGGTCATTATGAGTTCTGGCCAACTCAACAAGCAGCTAAAAATAACAATATACAGCAATCAATTTAACAATCCTTGTGATATTACAACTCTTATTAGTTTAGGTGTATTTTTCTTTTCTCCTTGTGACTAGACTAGGCACTTGGATGTGCTGATATCCACAAGCATTTATTCCCGTGCACTCAGTGAACTACTTGTATACTTGAAACTTAATTAAAAGTTCCAGAATGCTTCATATTGGATGTTGTTGTTGTTATGTGCCATTGAGTCACCTACAACCCATAGCCACCATATGTACAGCTGTTCTGAACCCTGCCCTGTCCTGAGCCAGTTTCATTAATTCTGACACATCAACCCCCATTGCCCCAGATACTGTATCAACCCAACTTATTCAGGGTCCTAAGGAACAGAACTGATATTAAAAAACCCAAAAAATTCATTGTATATGAATTAATGACAACACTTTACCTCCAAATCATCCAACTTTATCCCTACTGTTGTCAAGAATTCTCCCTGTCCCCTCACCCCAAGTTATTTTGGGAACAAAAGAAAGATTTACTATTTCTGGATCTTAACAGCTAGTAAAGAACAAAATTTGTAAAGCTGTCATTACTAGAGATGTTTTCTGGCATGTAAAAGTAGTATGATGGAAATTGTTGAAATTATTGATATATATCACATGTGTGTTTTTCAAATTAGTTCATGCTTTCCAGTTGGTTGAAAAGAAAACCACCAACTCATAAAAAGAAAATTTCCTATTCACAAGATTTTACAAGGCCTTCTTACTATCATAAACTGAAACTATGTAGGAATGAACATCCTTAGCTTAAAGACATCATAATGTTTAGGGGTCTCATGAGTACCCTAAACAAAAATCTTGAGATTCCTATAACCTAACTTGGACTCTTCAGAAAAAGCCAAAATGAAATAGTTGTAAGGATCATCTAGGAAAAATGCCTATGATGGACATCAGTCTCCTAAATGTTTTGACTTATGAATATCTATTTCATATCTACTCCCTTTTAGACCTTTCACCCTTCACAT